CCCAAACCGGGATGGCGGGAGGGTCCCAGGCACCCCAAACCCCAAACCGGGATGGCGGGAGGGTCCCAGGCACCCCAAACCCCAAAAAGGATGGCGGGAGGATCCCGACCGCGCTCAAACCGTGACGGAGGGAGGGTCCCGGTCACCGCCTAACCGGAGCAGGCAGCGGCCGAGCACCCCGAGATAGCGGGAGCTTTCCCCGCTCTCCCTCCCCGTGTGCCGAGCTCCTCCTTACCTCGCCGTTACCGGCACCGGCATGTTCCGTGTTTCAGGGGGAAGAAACTCCACACAAACGGGTAAATTCTGACCTGCCGCCCGCTCGGTACCGAGCCCCGGGACGGGGGCTCTGACCCCGGCCGGGCGGAGGGACCCCGCCACACCGAGGGCTCGCCCGTACCCGGTCCTCGCAGCCCGTCCCGGTGGCGGCCGGTCCCGCCGGTGGCCCCGCAGCGGCTCCGGCCCCGGGGAAGCGACTCCGGCCGTGCCCCCGCTCCCCCCGCCCCGCTCCCCGCGCTCGGGCCTCACCTGCCTCCGGTGCGCAGGCGGTGGCCGCGGGGGGCTCGGCGGGCTCGGAGCCGCGGGCGGCCGTGCCGGGGGTGCGGCGGGGTGCAGGGAGCCATGAGGGCGGCGAGCGGCGCCCTGGGCATGGACAGCGCCGGGCGGACCAGGGTGAGCGCGGGGACGGCCGGGGAGGGACCCCCGGCTTCGGCCGCATCCCCGGGACTGCACCCCCGGGGCTCCCCCCGCATCCCCGGGCTCAACCCCCGTTCCCGGGGCTGCATCGCCGGCCTCCTCCTGCATCCCTGGGCTCCCCCCGCATCCCCGGCTTCTCCTGCATCCCTGAGCTCCCCCTGCATCCCTCGGCTCCGTCCCCCGGCCTCATCCCCAGCCGCGGGGCAGCACCCCCGGTCCCATCCGGCACCCCGGGGCTCACCCGCGGCCCCGGCCTCACGCCCCACTGGCGGGGCCGCATCCCCGGTGTGTCCCCGCATCCCGGTGTGTCCCCGCATCCCCGGTGTGTCCCCGCATCCCCGGGCTCCCTCCATCTCCCGTTCGGAGCCGCAGCTGCGATCCCCCGAGGCCGGGGGGGTCCCGGCTCAGCCCGCGCCTTGGCAGGAGGCCTACGCGGAGTACCTGAGGAGCATCACCCTCATCGCCCAGGCCCTGCAGGAGGAGGCGGCCGCCACAGGTAGGGCAGGACCCCGCGTCCCCCCGCGGAACCGGGGCGGGGGTGGAAGTCCTGCAGCGCCCTCAACACAGCCACCCCACAGAGAACAGCGAGGGGCTCACCCCGGACACCCCGAAACTGCTGAAGCTGGCGGAGCAGTGCCTGGAGAGGGTCAAATCCATCGCAGCGGCGCTGGGTGAGTCGGGGTGGGGGTCCCGGCTCTGGGGAGCCGGGTGCCCCCGCAGGGCCAGGCTGGTGGTGGGGCACAGCCCGCCTGTCCTGCCCCCTCCCCAGGGAAAGCCCAGGTGAAAGCGGCTGCACAGGAGCGGGGCGGGGGCCCTGCGCCTCTCCCCCGGCACCGCCGCGTCTGCTCGGACGAGGGGGGCAAGCTCTCGCCGTTCCTGCCCCCGGAGATCTTCCAGAAGCTGCAGATCGCTGAGGCACAGAGCTCACGGAAGTACGGGGGGCTCGGAGCTGGGACATGGGGACTGGGTCACGGGGCTGGGACAGGGAGCGGTGGAGCATGGGGGCTGATGTGGGCTGAGATACAGGGGCTGGGATGTGGGAGGCTCAAACACAGCAGGTAGGACATGGGGGTTCAAACACCAGGGGATTGGGACACAGGGTCTGGCAAGAACAGTGACACAAGGACTGCTGGTGGCCACATGCCTGCCTGTGGGGTCACGGAGCAGGATGTGGTCCTGGCACATGTCCTGTGGCCTGTGGAGAGTGCTCAGGCCGTTCCTACAGGGAGCTGACCCCGCTGGAGGAGGCCTCCCTGCAGAACCAGAAGCTGAAGGCGGCCTACGAGGCACGGGTGGCACGGCTGAACCCAAACCAGGCTGTGCAGAAAACATCCCTGGCAAGTGGGGGCTGGGGAGGAGCTGGGAGCTGGATAGAACTGGCTGCCAGGCAGGGAGAGGGTCCTTGGGGGACCCCTGCTCCCCACTGATGGCCATGGGGTGTGGGTGGATGTTCCCAACTCCCCTCCTGCTCCGCAGACGCTGTCCCTGCAGCGGCAGATGATGGAGAACCTGGTGATCGCCAAGGCCCGAGAGGAGACTGTATCCTTCCCAGAGGGATTGCTCCAAGAGCCTCTGCCCTGTCCTGGCTGTCACCGACCCCACGCAGGCCTTTGGGGTCCCAGCTGGGGCATGGAGGAGGGTGAAGGGCAGGGGGTGAGCACGCTGGTGGCTCTGCTCCCTTAACTGTGCCTGGCCCAGCTGCAGCGCAAGATGGAAGAGCGGCGGCTGCGGCTGCAGGAGGCGGCCAACCGGTGAGTGGGGATGTCACTCAGGGACCCTGAGCTCTGGGGACACCCAGCAGTGCCCTCACTGGCCCGGGGTGTCCCCAGGAGGTTCTCCAGCAGCGTGGCACTCACCCCCGAGGAGCAAGAGCAGCGAGCACTCTACGCTGCCATCCTTGAGTATGAGCAGGACAATGTGAGTGTGTGCCAGGGGCTGCTGGCAGGGCTGGGGGCTGTGCCACGGGGCTGGGGGCTGTGCCATGGGGCAGGGGGCTGTGCCGTGGGGCAGGGTGCTGCACCATCCCCATGCCCAGCCCTGGACACTCCCCAGGACTGGCCAAGGCAGTGGAAGGCGCAGCTGAAGCGGAGCCCGGCGGATCTCTCAGTGGTGTCAGGGCTCTTCTCCTGCCTCCTGAGGTACTGCTGAGGTGGGCACGGCCCTGCCAGAGCGAGGGGGCTGCAGCTGCTGCCGGTGCCCCCCGCCCACCCCACCCCTCTGCCCACAGCTGCCCCGAGCACCCCATCACGCAGCTGCTGCGGCGGCTGCAGTGCGCGGTGTACGCCCGGCTCTACCCCGCTGTCAGCCGCGGCCCCGCCGACGCCTCCCCCGCCTCCCCCTCGGCTCTGTCCTTCCTCTCGCTGGACGCGGGGGGCTCCTCGCTGCCCACCGAGCCGGGGGGCCGCCGGCTCCGGGCGTCCCGCAGCCTGCACTGCATGTTCTCGGTGCCCGAGCACGGCCCGGCGCTGCGGCACAGCCAGTCCAGCACCCCCCTGGCTGACAGCGGCGCCCCGGGGCCCGCCGAGCCCCCCGAGCCCCCCCGGGAAAGCTCCTTCGAGGACCTGGAGCGGTTCCTGGCGTCCCCCGAGGGCTGGGCCCCCGCAGAGCCCCCGGCCAGCTGCGGGCAGGACACGGCGCTGCCGGAGCTGCTGAAGGGCGTCGTGAGGGACATCCACAACGCCATCGGTGAGGGACGGCCGAGGGAGCAGGGGGTGGTTGGGGGGCTCTCCTGCGCCCCACTTTGACTCGGGGCACAGGGTGGGCAGGATGGAGGGTCCCACTGTGGGTAGGGCAGGGGGTCCCAGCGTGCTGTGTGCCTCACCCTTCCCAGACAGGCTGCTGGCTCTGACTCTGCTGGCCTTCGAGGGGCTCGGCACCGCCGCCGGCAAGGACCAGTGCCTGGCCTGCCTGGAGGAGGCTTTCTTCCCCCCGCTCTGGGCCCCACTCCTGGCCCTCTACAGGTACCACGACCCGCTTTGGGGGGGGTCCGAGACCCACTGACCCCTTCCTGGCACCCCCGCGTCACCTCCGTGCCCGCAGGACCGTGCAGCAGCCCCGCGAGGCGGCCCTGGCGCGCAGCATGGAGCGGCACCGGCACGCCAGCCCCGCCGACATGGGGCTGGCCTCGCGCCTCTTCCCGCCCGGCCCCGGCCGCCCCGCGTACGCCTCGGCCGTGCAGGACCTGCGCCTCATCCCGCTGGAGACCTGTCCCCGCAGGAAGCTGGAGTGCCTCGGTGAGCGGCGCGGGGGACGCGGGGGCGGGGGCCCGGGGGTGGCGGCGGCCCTGACGCCCGCCCTGTGCCGCAGTGCGGGCCCTGCGCGGCATCTGCGAGTGCGCCGAGGAGTACTGCGGCACCCGGGACGCCCGGAGCCTCGCCACGGCCGCCATGTGAGTGCAGGAACGACGGAGCAGGACGGGAGGGAGAGAGGGAGGGCGGCTGTGGGGCCTGCGCCCGGTGTTGGGCCGCCATTCCAATGTGGCCACCGTGGCTGACGGTCCCTGTTGTCACAGCGGCGCAGACGACCTGCTGCCCATCCTGTCCTACGTGGTGCTGCAGACGGGGCTGCCCCAGCTGCTCTCCGAGTGTGCGGCGCTGGAGGAGTTCATCCATGAGGGGTACGTGCCGGGCTGTGGGCCATGCAGGCACCCCTGGGCTCGGGACACCCTCCTGGGACGGGGCTGTGGGGCAGGAGGTGGGCTGGAATAGCAGCAGGGCTTGAGGGGTGGTGGGTGGGATGGTGTCCTGGTCACGGCAGTGTCCCAGCCATGATGGTGTGGCACCCATAGTGGTGTCCTGGTCACGGCAGTGTCCCAGCCATGATGGTGTGGCGCCCATGGTGGTGTCCTGGTCACCACAGTGTCCCAGCCATGATGGTGTGGCACCCGTGGTGGTGTCCCGGTGGTGACAGTGCCATGGCTGTGGGCACAGGTACCTGATCGGGGAGGAGGGGTACTGCCTGACGTCCCTGCAGAGCGCCTTGTCCTACGTGGAGTCGCTGCAGTGAGGAGGGGGCGGCGCGGGACCCCCAAACCCCCGGGCAGGTGCTGCCGCCCCTCCGCGGGTCCTCCCGCCCAGCAGGGGGAGCTGTGGCGCGGGCTCAGCCCCGCCCCGGGGGCGGAGCTACGGGCGGCACGTGCGTTCCGGCCCGGTGCGCGCGGAAGGGGAGCGGGAAGGGAGCGCGAGCGGCCGGGAGCGGCAGGTGCGGGGGGAGCCGGGACCGGGGCGGAACACCGGGAGGCCTCGGTGGGGAGAAACGGGAGGAACCGGGGCCGGGGAGGGACACCGGGGGGACTGGGGTCAGGGAGGTGCCGGGGAGGCCTCGGGGGAGCGGAGTTCCGGAGCTGGGGCTTTGGCGGGGGATCCCCACAGGTTCGGTGGGGGGTTCCGGGGCTGGGGGTCTGACGGGTCCCGGGGTCCCTGGGTGGGGTCTCACGCTGCTGTCCCCGCAGGATGTGTGCAGGCTCGGCGCTGCGGCAGGAGCACCGGCAGGACTACGGGCAGGAATTCCGGCAGGAGTTCCACCAGGAGTACCGCCGCTCTCTGGAGCGGGAGCTCGGCCCCGCCGGGACCTACCCCGGCCCCGCCGTGGCGGAGCGGCTGCGGCAGCGGCTGCAGCAGGAGCCGGAGCTGCTGGAGGCCCTGCAGGAGGACGCCCTTGCACTGCTGGCCCGGGGGCTGCGGGACCACCCCGACCCCGGGCTGGCGCTGCGAGACCTGGCCAGCGCCTTCCGGCTGCTGGAGCTGGCGGCCGTCAACCTCTACCTCTTCCCGTGGCGCCGGGAGTTCGGCACCATCCCGGTGAGGCCCTGAGGTGGTGTGGGGATGGTGTGGGGGGTACCCAGACACCTCCAGCCACGCTCCCCGCTCTCTTTGCAGACCTTCTCCGGCGCCTACGTGCACCTGCTGCGCCCGGCGCTCCCCGAAGCCGACCTGGTGCGGAGTTTGGGCCGACTGGGCTACGAGCGGCAGGACCGGCACCGCCTGGCCGTGGAACGGCTGCCCCCGGGGCCCGCGCTGATCGCTGCTGCTGTCGGCTTCCTGGCCTGCCGCCTGGAGTGCGAGATCCTGGCGGAGCTGGCACCACGGCTGCGGTGCCCCCGCGCCGAGGAGCTGCTGGAGGCGCGGCGTCGGGCCGGGGGTGCCGAGGGGCGCCTGGAGATGCTGCAGGACCTGGGGACGCGGCCCAGGGCGGCTGCCGACTGCGGTGACGGCGTGGATCTCTACCGGGAGAGTCCAGACAGCCCTGAGGACACAGGGAGCAAGGACACAGCCCCCCCAGCGCCGTGGAGGGACCCTCAGGATGTGCTCACGAGGGGCTGGGGACGCTGCGACAGCACGCTTGCGCCAGAGCCCGTGGGCAGCGCCGATCCGGACACCTCCTCTCGCCTCTTCCCGGAGCGGGAGCTGGGAGAGCCCCGGGGTTGCCCCCAGGCCACGCCAGAGCTGCCCTGCTACCAGCTGCACTCGTGCCTGCAGCGGGGCATGCTGCCCTCGTACTGCTGCAGCACCTGCCGGCAGCTGCACGGCGGCGGCTGCGCCCTGGGGCGCGCCTGCCGCAGCCGGCACCGCGGCCAGGAGCTGCGCGGGGAGCGGCAGCAGCGCCTCTGGCTGCAGCGCACCGAGCTGGACATGCTGCTGGCCAAGGGCCCTGTGCCCCGCTGCTGACACGGCTCTGCTGCCCCTGCGGAGGGCAGGGCACGGATGCTGCTTGGCACAAGGACCCGGACTCGTCAGCCGTGCCAGGCCCGGCCCGGGCACTGCTGCTGTAAATTATTCAGTGCATCAGTAAAGTGGCTGTCTCGGCGTGGGGTGTTCTGTCCTGGTGAGGGGGACAAGAGGCCTGGTGCAGGGGATGCAGTGAGACCTGACAGCACAGCACCCTGTAGGAGCAGCTCCTGTTTCCCTGAGAGTGGGGGCCAGGATCCACTTAAAGGGGGGCAGCAGCTGGATTGTCATGGAGGTATCCTTGTCCCCAGGGTGACACAGAGGAAGGAGAGCAGAGTCACAGCTTGTCACACTCCTGCTGGAACCAAAGAATGAAGTCACTCAGCACAATGTTGTCACTGCCAGATACTTTTATTGATGGCAGTGACTTATTGATTTATTTATTTTATTGTGGGTTCCCCCCACAGACAGCACAAACCAGGACCCGCCTGGGACAGGACTGACCCTGCCAAGCCTGGGCATCCCTGCACCCCACCTCTCCTCTCTCCTGGCTCTGTGGCCACGCTTGCCCAGCCACACACTGCAGCCTGCCCCGTCCCACACGGGCAGATGGATGGAGGAGCTGTCCCCATGGCGCTGGGACTGCTGGGCTGAGGGAATCCACCTCAGCCAGGACACATCAGGGCTGTTCCCAGGGCACAGCTCAGGGCTTGCTGCGCTTGGCCTGGCTCTCCGTCGCCGTGCTGGCCGCCCGCTTGTTCCGGTGGTGTGGGAAGGTGGGCATCAGCTCTGGCTCACAGGCTGTGGGGCACAGAGAAGGGTCAGCAGGGCCCAAAGCCTCCCAGTCCTTCCCTGCCCCAGGATGGGGAGTACTTACGCAAGGGCTTCTCTTTGAAGTAGGAGCTCTCCAGGCAGTCCTTGGCTGTGGCCCTGTGGGGACAAGGGTAAGTAGCAGGGACCACCCCAGCCTAGGGGACAGCAGGTTCCTGCCCTACCCACCCTGCATCCTGCCTGGCTCTTACCTTTTCTTGGGGTCATACATGAAGAGGAAGTTGAGCAGTCGCAGCCCAGCCTCCGAGAGCCAGGGAAACCTGTGCTTCAGGTTGTTGTAGGGCTGTTTCCGCAGGGTGTACTGGGTGGCCAGCGGCAGCTTGGAGAAACCCTGGGGGAAACTGAGTGTGAGGAGGGGCCTTGGAGCAGCCAGGGAGAAAGGACAATGGGAAAATGGGCAGGGAGCTCTCACCGGCCAGATGTTCTCGTTGGGTGTCCCCAGGAGCTGCACGATGAGGTCGATCTGGTGGATCTCAGAGGTGCCTGGCAGCAGTGGTTTGTGTGCCAGCAGCTCGGCCAGGATGCAGCCAGCAGCCCTGCAGAGCAGAGTAGCCTCTGGAGTTATCCCCCTGCAGTGTGCAGCCCCCCAGCCCCCTGCAGGCAGCCTCAGCCCCTCTCCCTTACCACATGTCGATGCTGGTGGTCTGGGTGGTCATGCCCAGCAGCAGCTCCGGTGCGCGGTACCTGCGCAGGAGACACTCGGTGTCAGAGCTGGCACCAGCCCATCCCACTGGGGGAGCCCACCCTGGCACTGCCACTCACCAGAGAGTCACCACTTTGGGGGTCATGGGCTTAGGGGGCATCCCGTAGGTGCGTGCCAGGCCGAAATCAGCTGCAGCAGAGAGCGAGAGTCAGGAGGAGCCCAGCTCTGACTGCGGGCACGGCCCAGAGCAGCCACGGCCGGGTGCAGCTGCCAGGACTCACCTATCTTCACACAGCCCTTGTCGGTCATCAGCAGGTTGGAGACCTTCAGGTCCCTGTGGGAAACAGCAGCTGGAGGTGAGAGACCACACAGAAAATCCAATCCCATCGTTCCACGCCTCCCTGCCCTGCCGGTGCTCCCAGGGCGTGGGAGGTGTCCCCAGATACCCCTCTGTCCCCCCAGCTCCATCCTGCCACTCCTACCTGTGGATGATGTAGTTCTCATGGAGGTACTGCAGGCCCTTGAGCACCTGCAGGATGATGCACTTCACCTGGGGACAGAGGACAGGAGCGGTCACCTCTGAGGGAGCAGCACTGACTGGACAAACCCACACAGCCCAAACCCACTGGGGTGTCCTGCAGTCTCTCCATCCCTGTGTCCTCACAGGGGGTTCTGGGTGGGTATTTTCTCCCAGCTCTGTTTCCCTGACTGTTCTAGTTCCAAACCCAGCCTGGAAAGTCCCTGAAGGTGTCACTGAGAGTCAACAAAGCCCAGCTCCATCAGAATCCCTAGAATCTCCCAGCTCAAGGTCTGGGGAGCCCGTCACAGTGCCCACGTGTTTTGGCAGGAATGGCATCACCCTCTCAGGGGTGCCCTCCATCCCTGTGTCCTCCCAGGAGGTTCTGGGTGGGCATTTTCTCCCAGCTCTGTTTCCCTGACTGTTCTAGTTCCAAACCCAGCCTGGAAAGTCCCTGAAGGTGTCACTGAGAGTCAACAAAGCCCAGCTCCATCAGAATCCCTAGAATCTCCCAGCTCAAGGTCTGGGGAGCCCGTCACAGTGCCCACGTGTTTTGGCAGGAATGGCATCACCCTCTCAGGGGTGCTGGACCCAAATCGTGCCCCACCCCGTACCTGAGCCTCCGAGAAGGGTGTTTGCATGTTCTCCAGGAGACTGGCCAGGTCCTGCTCACAGTATCCCATCACCAGGAAAATGCTGTTGGAGACAAAGTAAGGTCAGAGCCTCCCCCAGGACAGCTGGAGAGCTCAGGGCTCCAGGGGAGGTTTGGAAGGCAGAGGCAGGACAGAGAGGGGACTCTCACCTCTCCAGGTGGTTTCCCACAACCACGTCCTTCAGCTCCACGATGTTGGGGTGCTGGAGCTGCAGGAGCAGGGTGATCTCCCGCAGGCTGCTGATGGGCATTCCTGGGGGAGGGAGGAACACTGCTTCAGAACAGGCCTGGAGACAGAGCCAGGACAGAACCCCATTCCCCCATGCTCCTCCATTACCGTCCTTCTCGTTGTCCATCCGCACCTTCTTCAGCGCCACTGTCTCGTTGGTCACAGTGTCCCGGGCACGGTCTGGGGACAGCACAGGCCACGTTGGCACCAGGACACACACCTGGCTTTGTCCCGACCTCACCTCGGCCCCCCCCGGCTCAGCCTCAGGGTGAACTGCGTGAGCTTCAGGCGCCTCCCGGCCCAAACCGCGCTGGGATTCTACACGGGGGAAAGGCTTCCCCCTGGCAGAGGGCAGGGATGGACGGGATATCCATGAGGAACATTCCCTGGGAGGCTGGGCAGGCCCCGGCACAGGGTGCCCAGAGCAGCTGTGCTGCCCCCGGACCCCTGGCAGTGCCCAAGGCCAGGCTGCACGGAGCAGCGCGACATCGTGGAAGGCATCTGGTGGCAGTGCCATCCCTACCCAGGGCAGGGGCTGGGGCGGAATGAACTCAGGCCCCTTCCCGGTCCCGCACGCCCCGGGAGGCAGTGCCCGCACTCACACACGATGCCGTACGTGCCCTCTCCGATCCGATTCAGCTTCTCAAACTCCTTCACGCTGCGGCACCGTCCCAGCTGAAACCAGAGAGCCGCGTTCAGCCGGGGCCGCCTCGAGGGCTCCTCACCGGGACCCCCCGCGGGCCCCCAAGCCCTCCCACACCCCGGGACCCGCTGCACTCACCCGATCGGCCGCCGGAACCTCGAAGAAGCCGTCTCCGCACAGTCGCCGCAGCCGCAGGGGCTCCAGCTCAGGCTCGGCCGGTGCCGTGGCCGATCCCGGTGCCGCCGCTCCCGCCTCAGGCGCCGCCATGTCCACAATTGCGAGTTCCGCCCTGCGCGCTCGGTATTATCCTGCCTCAGGCTCCGCCCACCCTCAAGCCCCGCCCACACGCATTAAGCCTCTGGAAACAGTCGTTAGCGAGGGACCAATAGCGACCCCGGGCCGGGATAGCCCCGCCCTCCATTGACCCCTCCTCATCGGGGCCCCGCCCTCAGCACCGCCCCGTACCGGATTTTTGGCCCCGCCCCTTCGCCATCCCTCTGACCCCAACGCTTTCCCGCTGACCACGTGACCTCCCCCTCCCCTCCGGCCGCCCCGTCGCTCTCGCGAGACTCAGCGCGCGCACCCCGGAAGCGGCGGCGGCGTCACCCGGAAGCGGCGGCGGAACCCGGAAGCGGCGGCGGGCAGGATGGACGGTACCGGGGGGATTGGGCGGTACCGGCGCCTCCCGGTGGGGCTGGGGCGGGTCGTGAGGGGTGGGGCCAGGGGTGAGGGTCGGGGCCGGTACTGGGACTGGTGGCCGGGACGTGTGGGCGGGGTCGCCGGTCACCCGATGCCGGTACCGGCCCCGTCGCTGAGACCGTGCTCTCCTTCCTTTCCAGACACGCTCTTCCAGCTGAAGGTGAGAGCAGCGGAGGCCCTTCCGCTTCCGTCCCGTCCCGCCGGTGCCGGGGGCGTCCCGGGCGCGGTTCCGCCGGCTCGGCCTCCCCGGGGCCGTGAGAGGAGGAGGCCCCGGCTGAGCGGAGAGCGGCGGCGCCGCGGGCAGAGCGTCGGGCAGGGTGCCCACTGCGGGGCGGCGGGGGTGGGCCAGGTGGGCACGGGCCCGGGGGCACAAAGGGGAGCGGCTGCCCCGAGCCGGGGGCAGGGTGGGACACTGGGAATTGGGAATGGGGAATTGTTCCCTGGGAGGGCGGGCAGGCCCTGGCACAGAGCCCGGAGCAGCTGGGGCTGCCCCTGGATCCCTGGCAGTGCCCCCGGCCAGGCTGGCGGGGCTGGGAGCAGCGGCAGTGTCGCTGCCGGGCAGGGGCACCGGAGGCTCCGGGGTGCCCCCGCCCGAGCAGCCCGTGCCCGTCCCGCTCCGTCCCGCTCCGTCCCGCAGTTCACAGCCAAGCCCATCAAGAGGCTCTCCAAGAAAGCAGAGAAGGACTCCAAGGCCGAGCAGGCCAAAGTCAAGAAGGTGCGTGGGGCTCCCCGTGCGGTGCCCGGCGCCGCGGGCAGCCGGGAGCACACCGGGGCGGGCCCGGGGCACACTCAGCCGGGGGGGGGCTGGCCGCTGCTCGGCTCACCGGGGTGGGCACGGGGCACAGTCAGCCCCGGGGGGGCTGGGCGCTGCTCGGCTCACCGGGGCGGGCCCGGGGCACACGCAGCCCCGGGGGATGGCCGCTGCTCGGCTCACCGGGGCCGTGCCCTGCCGGGACGCCCCCCGGCGCTGTCTGAGCGGGCTGTGGCGGGGCAGGCGCTGCAGCAGAAGAACGTGGAGTGCGCACGGGTGTACGCCGAGAACGCCATCCGCAAGAGGAACGAGGGGCTGCACTGGCTGCGCATGGCCTCCCGCCTGGACGCCGTGGCCGCCAAGGTGCAGACCGCCGTCACCATGAAGGGGGTGAGTGCGGGAACGGGGCCGGGGGGCACGGGAGTGCTGGCTCCGTGTGCCAGAGGGCTGCTTCGGTGTATTATGTATAGTACTTTTCATATATATATAGGGATATATATATATATATAGGGAGATATATATATATATATGTAGGGATATATATATAGGGATATATATATATATAGGGATATATATATATATAATTTATACAATATAAATGCTATATAATGTATATTATATTATTTTAATCATTATTATTTATATAGTAGTAATTTAGATAATTTATGATATTTTATGGTATTATTTTATATTTATTTATATAATAGATAAATAATATTTTGTAGAACCGTACTAAAAAGAATAGAGAGAAAAGGATCCATCAGAAAGCTAGAAAAGAATAGAAGGATAAGAAAAGAATAAGGAAAAGAATAGAATGATAATAAAATCTTGTGACTGCTCAGAGCCTCGACACGGGTGGCTGTCACTGGTCACCAAGCAAAAACAATTCCACGTGCTGGGTAAACAATGCTCCAAATCACATTCCACAGCAGCAGAACACGGAGAAGCTGCTGGAGCCTCCCAGCTTCTCAGGAGAAAAGATCCTGGCAAAAGGACTTTTCCTAAAATACCTCTGTGCCAGGAAAGAGCCCCCAGCCGGGACTTGGGAGCTCCATCCCCACATGCAGCTTCCCCTCTCACTGCCCCCAACCAGCCCCGGTGCCCCCGTGTCCCAAAACGACCCCAGCAGGGCTCCTGGGGGTCTCAGACCCCTCAGACAGGCTCATCCTGCCTGCGACGGCGCCAGGACAGTGCAGGATTGGTCTGGAACCCCCAGGGCATTCCTGAAGGAATCTCCTCTTGCAGGTGACGAAAAACATGGCTCAGGTGACCAAGGCTCTGGACAAGGCCCTGAGCTCCATGGACCTGCAGAAGGTGTCGGCAGTGATGGATAAATTCGAGCAGCAAGTGCAGAATTTGGATGTGCACACGTCGGTGAGTGCCGGCCAGGAGAGAGAGGGTGGGATGGAGAGGGATCCCTGCAGTCTGTGGCCGGGCAGGGGGACAGGGCTGTGTCTGTCCCAGGTCATGGAGGACTCCATGAGCTCGGCCACCACGCTGAGCACGCCGCAGGAGCAGGTGGACAGCCTGATCGTCCAGATCGCCGAGGAGAACGGGCTGGAGATCATGGACCAGCTGAGCCAGCTGCCCGAGGGCGCCGCCGCCCTGGGGGAGAGCTCCGTGCGCTCCCAGGAGGACCAGCTCTCCCGGAGGTTGGTTCTCTCCCGGCCCCTGGGCACTTCCACTGCTTCCCAGATCCCCCCCTGGCCTGCAGGGGAGGAGTTGGCCCTTCCTGGGGGCTCACAGGGGTCCCTGGCCGTGCTGGCCCTGACCTGGCTCCCCTCTGCTGCTCTCCCTCCAGGCTGGCTGCCCTGCGGAACTGAGCTCTCCCTGGGCCTGTGGATGGCACTGCTGGAGCAGGACCCCCTCCTGCAGCCCCCCCTGCCTCGGGACTCTTCTCGGGGGGTGACAGCCCTTCCCTGAGCCTGCGGCCATCCCGGTGGGAATCCTGTGCTGGATCGTGGGGGGGCTTCGTTTGGGGGTGCTGCTGGTGGCAGAGCCCCACGTGCTGACTAAAGGGAACACTAAGGGGATTTCCCTGCTCTCGGGATGCTGCTCCCCAACTCCTCTGTTGTTCCCTGTCCCTGCCCAGAGCTGAGCTGTGGGCTGAGTTCCTCAGGAGCTGGCTGGGAGGAGCAGGAGAGCCCACGGGGGTCCCCATCTCGGGGAAGGGCCCCGTGCCCGGCTGTGGAGCTGGGGAGGTCGGTGCCTTGCAGGAAGGGGCGGTGACAGCGGGGTGTCCCCTCCCTCGCTGTCGCTGTCCCCGTGCCCTTTGCTGCTCCGTGTCCCGCCGGCCGACACCCCCAGCCCCATACCACGAAGTGCCCTTTGGAACACCCTCCCCTGCCAGCCCCGTGCGTGTCAATCCACAGATTCCCCAGGCACTGCCAGCTGGAAGTGGTTATCCCGGCCCTGACTGCCAGTGAGGACCCTTGTCCAGCACTGGGAGCGGATTGCAGCGCTGTGGTGGCTGCAGACACGTCCCCAAATGTCCCCCTGCTGGATGGGTGTGACAGGGAGTGCAGAATCATCCCGGGAGCAGCTCTGCCTCGATCCCTGCACCTCGTCCCTGGATGTCCTCTGTCCCTTTGCTGCTGGCACCAGGCCGGGGGCGGGGGCTGCTCTCCGTGTCCCCTCCCACTGCTCGACCCTGTCCCTTGTCACCTTCCCCCGGGCTGGAGCTGTTTGTGCCCCTCCCCGCGGCACTGCGGAGCTGCTGGATTGCTGGAAGCCCTCCAGGAAGGAAGCGCTGTTTCCTTTGGGTCTCCCAGGAGGAACTGTCACCTCTGGGGGATGTCATGGGGCCACCTCCCGGCACAAACACTTCCCGCTGCGTTGATTGTTTTTCCTGAGTTCAGTGGCCTTGGAGCGTGTGGCTGGTGACACAGAGCCTTCCTCGCCACCGAGGAGGAGGAGGAGGAGGCAGCTTTGGGCTACAGCAGAGCACTGGATCTTGTCCCACCTCCCACTGGGCTGGGTGGGAAGCTGGGGGACCCTGGAGATTTGTGCCTGGCTCCTGGCTCCCTGCACGGTGTCCCCGCAGCACTGGGGGCTCCAGACCTGCCCCCTGTCCCTCTCCCGAGCTGTCTCTCTGTGGTTTCATTGGTGGTTTTTTTTTTAAGCTTGTCTTATTTGCCTTCTTTTTGCCCAAACCGTGTCCGTGCCCTTCTGTGGGTTTAAATAAACAATCTCTGAACGCCCCAGGGTGTGTTGGGGGTGTGGATGCACACGGGGCATGGTGGTCCCCCTTGTCTCATCGTGTCCCCTGTCCTGTGCCAGGACCTGCTGCCAGGGGCTGCCCTGGAGCTGAGGAGGAGGAAGGGACTGCTCTTCTTCCCAGAGCCTCTGCCCATCCAGGAGCTGGGAGGTGGCTCGGGGATTCTGGAGGGTGAGGACACCCCCCTTTCCCCACTGCAGGGACCTGTCTCCTTCATGTGGCCAAACAGGGGGACCAGAGTGAGCAGGAGCAGCTGGAACCCAGCTCCCTTCCCCATTAGGGTTGGGCCAGCCCAGCTCCCCGCCCTGTTCCCCAGCCCTCGAGGGCTTGTCACCGCACCGAGGTGGCACCGCACCCATCCTGCCATCAGCACCTGCCCACAGCAGCCTCGCTGCCCGGGACGGGCTGCGGGGGTGAGGGTGCAGCCTTCCCTTCCCTGCTCCCGTCCCTTCCCCATCCCTTGCCACCCCCATCCCTTCCCTGTCCCCCCTCCCTGCCCCGTGCCCGGCTGGCAGACGGCCGCTGCGCCTCAGCCAAATCCCGAGCGCCACAGGAAGATGGCTCTCCTTCTCCTGCCTGTTCTCCCGCCTCCGCTCCGAAGACAGGCTGTTCCTGAATGTGAGAGGAAATTGCTAAGGAGATAATTAAGTAGCCAATTAATTAGCTAATGATTAATGGAAGCATCCTGCGGAGGCAGCTCCGCAGCCGCCCTGGCCAGGTGTTGCCGGGATGTGTCACTCCCGGTGCGGTTACAGCTTCCCGGTGTGCCGGGGCGGGCACGGCGGGGACCCCGCTGCTCTGCCCCGCCGGTGGCATGCCGGGTGGCCGGTGGCATGCCGGGGTGGCCGGTGACATGCCGGGAGTCCCAGCATCTCCAGGCAGGAGCCGGCGGGCCGTGGCGCGGGGTCCCGCAGAGCCGCACACAGACGCTCGCTGCCGGCACTGCTCGAGCCACGGTTTTATTTTGCCAGCAGGTTTGGCAGAAAGGAGCGCAGGATCGTGCCCCGCCCGGCGGCCCTGGGCACGGTGCCAGGGCCACGGTGGCAGCCGGGTGCTAGGAGAGCACGGCGAGGAGCGGGGCAAGTGCCAGCACCAGCGCCAGGGCTGCCGGCGGGCCCCGGGCAGTGCCGGCGCCGTTGGAGTACCCGTAGCTGGTTCTGCACGGCCCCTCCAGCTCCTCGAAGGCGATGGGCGTCTCGTGGGGAGCCGTGCCCTGCAGGCTCCTCTTCACCTGCCGTGGGGACAGGGGGGGTCCCGCTGTGAGGGGCAGTGCCCGTCCGCACGGAGCCCCTGCCACCCTGCACGTCCCTGTGCCACCCGGAACCTCCCTGTGCCACCCCGCACCTCCCTGTGCCACTCAGTACGTCCCTATGCCACCCCACACCTTCCTGTGCCACGCCACGCCTCCCTGTGCCACCCCGCACATCCCTGTGCCACCCCGCACCTCCCTGTGCCACCCCACGCCTCCCTGTGCCACCCAGCACCTCCCTGTGCCACCCGGAACCTCTCTGTGCCACCCAGCACCTCCCTGTGCCACCCCTCACATCCCTGTGCCACCCAGCATGTCCCTATGCCACCCTGCATTTCCCTGTTCCACTCTGCACGTCCCTGTGCCACTCTACATGTCCCTGTGCCACCCCGCACCGTTCCATGCATATCCCGGTGTCCCACATGTCCCCGTGCCTCCCTGTGTCCCCACAGATTCCCGAGTGCCACATGCCCTGATGTTCCACCTGCGTCTGCTGCCCCAAGTGTCCCCGTGCCACGTGTCCCCATGTCCCATATGTCCCCACTCCCGATGCTCCCAGTGCCACTTGTGTCCCCTGCCCTGTACCCCCCCGTGCCCCGTGCTTCCCGTGCCCTGCTCACCTCCTCCACTCTGCTGAAGACCCGCAGCAGGTTCTCAGCCAGGGCTCCCTTCACCTCCTCCTCCGTCCAGTTCCTCGCCAGCAGCTCGGCCACCAGCGCGGGGTACTTGGAGACGTCCTCCAGGCCAGTGGGGACCCTGTGCCACCCCGCAGCTCACAGCTGGGCCACCCCCAGCTGCCCGCACAGGGTGCAAGGGGGGACACCCCCAGCCCTCAGGAAGTCCCCGTGGTGGGGACTGTCCCATCCCATCCTGGTGGGATGCACCATCACCCCTTACCCTGGGACCCCGTCGTAGTCCCCCCCGAAGCCGACAGCCTGGGCACCGGCCACCTTCTTCACGTAGTCCAGGTGGTCTGGGGGGGACACCGGGGTGAGCAGGGCAGGGGGGTCACTGCCACCCCCTCCCACCTGGGCACCCCCTCACCTGCGACGTCGGACAGCTTGGCCTTGTCACTGCAGGTCACGTAGGCATTGTAGAAGTTGACCATCACCAAGCTGCCCGTGGAGGCCTGGGGGGAACAGCCCTGAGCCCCCAGCCCCCCAGAGCCCCCCGCTGTCCCTGCCCCGTGCCCCCACGCTCACCACCAGCTGCAGCACGTCGTCGGGCACGTTGCGGCGGTGCTGGCAGAGGCTGAAGGCAGAGGAGTGGCTGAAGATGACGGGGGCTTTGGAGATGTTCAGCACGACCTTCATCGTGTCCACTGAGACGTGGGCCAGGTCCACGATCATGCCCAGGCGGTTCATCTCCTCCACCACCATCTACAGGGACAGGGGACAGGGCTGGGGGGTGCAGGGGAGGGGTCCCCTATGGGGATGTCTGAAGCTGCTTGGGTGGATTTTGGCTGGTGGGACAGAGGGATGCATGGATGGATGGATGGATGGATGGATGGAACACTGCACCCAGCATGGGGCCAGTGGGTGCCAGTACCACATCCCTCCAATGCCACTGCTCCTGGACACCACCGCTGATGCTATCCTCACCTTCCCAAAGGGTGAGAGGCCGTGGTGCACAGGATTTTCATCGTTGGTGTCCACCAGCCAGTTGTCAGCCCTGCAGAGCAGCGAGAGCATCAGAGTGGCCACACCTGTGACCACACCCCCCATGCCAGCGCTGCCACCCTCCGTGCCCCCGGGGTCCTACCAGGGGGTGTTGCAGCTGTGGGTGAGGGTCATGTAGCGGGCACCCAGGCGGTAGAGGGTGCGCAGGACGCCCAGGCTGCTGTCGATGGAGTGGCCGCCCTCCACCCCGATGAGGCTGGCCACCTTCCCGTTCCGGAACGCCTCCCGGACACCTGCGGGAGAGCAGGGACGTCAGCCGGGGGGGGCAGGCCCGTAGCCCCCAGCCCGGTGCCTGGTCCCCGTGCTCACCGCTGCTGTCGGTGACGCAGGTGAAGGTCTCGGGGTACGTGTCGCACATGCGCTGCACCACGTCCATCTGCTCCAGCGTGCGCCTCACCGCGTCCTTGTTCTGCGTGTCGCAGGGCACGTACACCGACCAGAACTGCCACGGGCACCCCGTCAGCACGGGTACCCCGTCAGCACGGGCACCCCATCAGCACGGGCATCCCATCAGCACGGGCATCCCATCAGCACGGGCACCCCGCCAGCACGGGCACCCCATCAGCATGGGCACCCCGTCAGCATGGGCATCCCATTAGCACGGGCACCCCGTCAGCACGGGCACCCCATCAGCACGGGCACCCCCTCAGCATGGGCACCCCGCCAGCATGGGCACCCCGTCAGCATGGGCACCCCGTCAGCACGGGCACCCCATCAGCACGGGCACCCCGCCAGCATGGGCACCCCGTCAGCATGGGCACCCCGTCAGCATGGGCATCCCATCAGCACGAGCACCCCATCAGCATGGGTATCCCGTCAGCGTCGGCACTGCCCACCCTGCTGCCCACCCTGCTGCCCACCCCCACGTCTCTGACAGTCCTGCTGTCCCAAGAGCCCCAATGCTCACCCTGGTGCCCTCCCTGGTGTCCCTGCCCACCCCAGAGCCCACCCCGGTGCTCCCACCTGCCCGCCCACGTGGCCCTGGCGCAGTTTGGGGATGTTGGTGTGGGTGTCGTTCAGCACTGTCAGGTTGGCTGCTGGCAGCCTCAGCTGGTTGTTGAACTTCCGGAGGAGCTGCCAGGGCAGATCGTTGTGCCTGGGTGGGGACAGGGTGGGCACTGAGGAGTGGCCTGACCCTCTGCCCTCTCGCCCTCAGGCTGCCCACCCCCCTGGCTGACCACACACAGTCCCCTCATCTGGCTGTCATTCCTTCCAATCATCCATCCATCCATCCATCCATCCATCCATCCATCCATCCATCCTCCACCCTCCTCAGTCCATCTGTGCACCCTCCTGTCCCCTCAGCCAAAAGCCACCCAAGCAGTTCCAGCCCAGAACTGGAGACAGGCCACTGCCAGGGGACAGTGCCATGTGGGACCCCCCGGAGGACCCTCCCCAGCACCTTTCCAACACACCATCACCCTCACACCCAGGGGAGCCAGCCCAACATCCCTTCGACAGGGATGTCACCGCAGGGACATCCTGGCACGCACATCCCACACCCAGCCGTGCCACTGGGGAAGTGGCAGGTCGGGGCTGGGTGCCGTTTCCTGCTCCTGTCACGGTCCCACATTCCCCAGCTCCCCTGCCCTCTCCCTGTTCCAGGGGCACAGCACTCCTCCTCCAGGGAATGCTGCAGGGGACCGGAGCCTCCTGAGGGTCCCGAGAAGGAACCAGGGACATCACTCAGGACCGAGCA